CCCGACCAATAGGAAATTAGAACATCGGGAAATTTTTTCACTTTTCCGGTTTTAGCCTCGAGACTCGAGACTCAATCTGACGGACTACGGTGATTGGTTTTCGCGGGGAAACAATTGGCGTCCTACAAGTGTTCGTTTCTTTTTGGGCTTCAACTGGTGGGCCCCATGTATGGTCTTTATAATTGGGCCAGAGATTGGGCCCACAGTCAATATTTTGGGCTGTTTTTGGTGTTATAAAGTGAGGCCCAAATCTCTGCCTTTGAGCTCTGTTCCCTGCCTTAAGTTTCTTATCTCCCTCTGTTTTCTTTGCATCTCCTTCTTGTTGAGTTGGCAGTGATCTTATCAGTAGAGTGTTTAAACATGAACACCTTAACTTCAACTTCTCTCTGCAATCACCAAATTTCAAGATTTCCTTTTACTGTTTCAAACCCGAGAAACATATCTCCATTTCCCAGCAGAGTCTTCTTCAAACTATATGCTAATGCCAATACCAATGAGTTAGATACACAGGCACAGGCAGTGGAGGAGCCAAAACAAGAGCTAGAAGCTGATCCAAAGGAAACAGGCAAGGTCTCCCCTGCTTCTCCACTTGACAAGGACCTCAAAAAGGTTGGTTTTTTTTTCTTTTGATTCTACTGGGGTACCCTGAATTATAATTTATTAGAATTATTTCATGAATGCCAGCTCCAAGAAACTGCCCTTTCTTCTTCTTCTATGTGTGTGGCTGCATTTTTGTACAATTTTAGGTGGATTTGTAAATGTTCTTGTGGATTCTGAAATTGGGTAGTAAGAACAGATTGGTTATGTTGCAAAGAAGCAGATTTGGAAAGGCATACTTTTTTAGCTTCAGTACTAGCTAGAACATGATAGAAATAGGTCCCAGCTAGTTTATATATTTTACTTACAGTTTTAGAGTCTTAGTACCTGGGTTCCTTTTTGTTTTGCATATCCCCTATGTAATGATAGACTGGTTTTCAGATTGAAAGTTATTGTGTTATCAATTTTCTCTCAAGGTTATGCTTCCATTTTGCCCAACAGGTTGTTCAGAAGACTGCTGCAACCTTTGCACCAAGGGCTTCCACAGCTTCCAAAAACCCTGCTGTGCCTGGCAGTACTCTGTACACTGTTTTTGAGGTTCAAGCCTATGCCTCCATGCTGCTTGGTGGAGTTCTGTCTTTTAATCTCATATTCCCATCAAATGAACCAGACATATGGAGATTGATGGGCATGTGGTCCATTTGGATGTTTAGTAAGTTATTCCCCACTAAACTTAACTGCAAATTTTTCTCCTATACTTTTGGTATTTTGGAGATATACCATAACTTATCTGTCAATATAAGAAGAACCATATAGGGAAACTTTTCACATTGAAGTGAAATAAGCAGCTGTTTCATTTTCATGGTTTACAAATGACCACAGAGCAATGCATACATGATGATTATTTTTCATACTGCAGAATTGGATTCTGACAAAGAATCCAACTTTCTAATTTTTGCAGCGATTCCTTCACTGCGTGCACGAGACTGCTCAAAAAATGAGAAAGAAGCTCTAAACTATCTCTTTCTTCTCGTCCCTTTACTTAATGTGACAATCCCATTCTTTTGGAAGTCCTTTGCAGTTGTTTGGTCCGCTGACACCGTAGCCTTCTTCGCCATGTATGCATGGAAGGTATGTAAACAGATAAATGAATTAGGCATTCCCTTTAATAATTGTGACATTTTTTCTTCTAAGCATATGTTCTGTTTCTACAGCTTGGTTGGCTACAAAGAAAAAACTAGGAATCCAAATTGCTTCATTTCTTCAAATCAAATGATAGGCACATGATATTATATGAAATTTCTCAATGCTGATGGCCCCAAAGTACGAGGAGAGCTTGTACATTTACAGGACAAAATGGTGCTTGCCTCACCTGCAGCCTGCAGGAGCCAAAGCCATCATCAATTTTTGGAACATGTCGAGATGAACGGATGCATTCGTGTTCAGGCCCTCTTGTTTATATAGGATGGATATTAACATTTGAAAATATAGTCGAACAGAGCAATGCAATGATAAATTTGTACATAGAAATCCTGAATCTTTTCCCCTTTTTTCTGTCACATGACAATGCCATCTACACTGCTATTCATACATCTCCTTTATCCCTTCTATTTTGTTTGCTATGCGGTTGGGACCAGAGAATGGCAGCTGCATGAAATTGTGGTTCTGGAACCCAGAAGATTAGAATATTTACTCGCTTCCTCATGGGTGTCTAATTGCAATCTTGTCATAGTTATTACTATCTGTTCTCAGAAACAAGTACTGAAATTGGTGTGTTTAGCCAAAAGGTGGAAGTGTGTGAAAATGCTTCAAATAAAGAAATTTACTTTCATAATATAACATCCATAAAAATGACAGGAAACCCCAAATTGAAAAGCCAAACTTTTGAAGGTGATTCCCTGGAATTGAGTGACCATTCTATACATAATCATCATCACTGTCATCATAGTCTGAACCCGAATCGTCGTTCTTGGGTTCTGTGAGTGTATTCATATCAAATGATGGCGACAACTCCATCTCCTCCATTTCGATAGTGTCATAGTCCATCCGTTGTGCAAACTTTTCATCAGAGCAATTAAGAAGCCATCCAAGGGAGCATTTCAACCCCTTCTTCGAAACCATCTTATGTCTTGGTTTTATAGTAGATTCCAGACCATAAGTAAAGAATGCCGGGAAATCAACCAAGTCATCCAAAGGCCTTTGCATCTCTGGTTGAAAGAATTCGAAGCTAAGTTTCATGATGTCAAGATTCAAGGCAAGCAATTGAGGGCACCCTGCGACCATCTTCCTCGCTTGTTCCAAGGAGAATCCACAATTCTTAAGGAAATCTACATGCTTCATCATAGGTCTATCACTGAGGCTAACAACCTGAGGCATCTTCTCCACAACTCTGCCAAACTCCTCAGGACTCAAATCAATTACTGACTTGAGTGAACTTTGTTGACTGAGAAGCTTAGGCTTTAGATCAATTCCTATTATCTCAGGATATTGTGCCACTACAGAAGCAAGTGATTCTTTTCGAACACAAAACTCCAAAAGAGATTGAACATTTGGTTTCACCCTCTCCTCCAATCCAAATCCAAGTATGTGGGGCCGCTTCTCTATCAGTCTAGCCACGCCTAATCTTGGAATACCCAAATCTTCAAGATACTCAACAAAAGGCTTGATCACCCTACCTACACGCATCCCTAAAATCTCCGGGTATCTAGTTAACACCCCTCCAATCTCTCTTCTTGCAACCCCAATTCCGACTAAATAAGCCACTGAAGTGCTCATGGTCCCCTCAAGCTTGAATCCCATGACTTCTGGATATCTTTCAAGAACCCGGGGAATATCATCAGGTTTGATATCCATTCCTTGAAGATACTTGACCACTGGTGAAAGGTCAATAACAACACTAGCATGCAGGACTTGTGGATATCTTCTCAAGAACTCTGTGAAAGTGGATTTCCTAACACCCAATTTTCCAAGATAATCAAGTACAGGAATCATGTTTTTCTTCACACTGCAGCCTAGAACAAGTGGATAGTTGTTAAGGTCTTCAATTGTAAGCCCCAGCTTGTGAAGAAAATCCACACGTTCCCTCATAACTTCAACTGTAACAGGAAGCTCCAACCCATCAAGCTCATCAGGGACAATACCAATCCCTCGCAAGAACTCATAAACTCGCGCACGATTTTCCATCCTGTCATTCTTCATATCTAATAGACTAGGACGACTATATAATGATGAAGAACCTCCTTGTCTCCGACCCAGGCGATTGGTGTTTTTATTTGACACAGATGAATCCCCATATCTAGTTGCCGACCTTCTATCAGCAACAGAATACTGAGACCTTGTAATCATCCCAATCAACTTCTCACGGTTACAAGGGATTCGGAGCGTGAATATAGAAGTAAATTGGGGATTACGAGATGTAAGTGCTGGTAACTCTGGATGCACAAGCAAAAAGCTGGGTTTGGTAATACCAGCATAACTTCTGATCTTCATAGTTCCAGATTTAAAACTATCAATGAGCCTAACAAGAGAAAGAAAAAAAATACATAATTAAAATACATAAAGCTAATGCACCAAAAAAAAACCTGATATTTCGCTCATACATAAAGCTAACCCCCATCTGCAGAATCTTTGTTATTTTCATACTTGTTGAATAACCGACTCAATTGTTATAATGAAAATAAACTTGGAAAATAAAATACGAAGGCATATTCTATAATCAACTTCACCAACTCAGAAAAGCTTTTTCCAACTTCAAGTTATTCTTTTTCATCAAACAAATGAGGCTTAATTACATTTAGAAGACAAATTTCTACAAAATCTAGCCCAATATCTTAGGTACCAAAGAAAAATTGTGTTCTATTTACGTCTTTGTTAAATTTGAGAAACCATTTTGGTTATCTTGGTTGGTTAACTGAGAAAACCCAGAAGAGGGGAAACACAAAGAAACGTAAAAAAATACGAAGACATCACACTCTGGAAATCTGAAGAAAAAAATAACCACCCAAGACTGAAGAATTAGAAGCCCAGTCATAAAAAATCCATAAATTTATCATCTTCTTATTTATCTACATGTTCTTCAGTGAAAAGGTCTTAACTTGTACGCAGTTCTAGAGAAGGAAGAAGAAGAAGCTGACCTGTCCGAGGAGTTGGCTCAGGTTGAGTATTGTGCTAGCAGCTTATCCAGAGTGTAGCTGAGATTGACTCAACAGTGGCTTTCAGCTCACTCAAGCTGCAGTTAAGCAAATACTCATCTCCTCCTCCTGCTAAAGCCTAAACCTTTTGGAAGGCTGCAAAGAGCTGTTGCAGAGTGAAGAAAGAGGGAACTGGCCTTGCGTGCCTTATCCCACATGACCATGATCCAACACTGGCTCTCATGGGCCTGGAAGTGCTTTTGGGCCTGGAAGTGCTTTTAGGCCTGTAGCGCTATTAAACTTATGCAACGCAATTTTAGAATTATAAACAAAGAAAAAACAGAACTTTAGAAAATAAAATTACTTAAACGCACGGAATGTAGAAGTTGTAGAACTAACGAGAAAATGGCAGGGCCTTCTCTTACTATCTTCTTCTTGGGCTTGCTATTCTTCTGTGCGATATCTGAAGCTTCCAAGTGCTCAGTCAAAGGTAAGCTCTTGCTTAATCTTTTATGGATTAAGGTTGTGGGTATGCCCAGAAATGACAAGTTTCACAGCTGGTTCAGTATGCTTTACATAGTTTGTGCTTCAAGTGGGCATTTCTTGATTTACAGTGTTTTATGACTGAAATCCTACTGGTTTTTTAATTTATGTCTATTTTGGTGGCTCGATACGATTGTTGATAGTTTTTTTCTTATTGCGTTTAATTTATAATTCTCTGATGGTGTTTGGTTTTGTTTAGTTTCTTCTTGAACTTCTTATTTTGGTTCTTTGGTGGGAATTTGAGCTTGCCCCCTTTGTGAAATTTCCCTGGTGGCTCGGAGGAGGTTTTGATTGTTTGGTCCAAGTTCCATGGAATTCGCCGCTTTCTTATAACCTTCAGATTGTAAACTTCCATGGAATTCGCCACTCTCTTATGACCTTCAGATTGTGAACTTGCTTATTGATGATATAAATTAAGCTAATTAACTGTTCTCTTACTATTGTATATGTTGGATTCAGGGTTACCTGAAGTAAGAAATATCAGTGCCCTTCCACAGAATAACTATGGAAGGGGAGGTTTGGCACACACAACTGTTGCTGGTTCACTCTTGCATGGGTTGAACGAGGTATGAAGTGCACATTCATTAGAGAATTCACTGTTCCTTTGATCTTGGGGGCTTGAAAGACCATACCATTTGCATGATAACCTTGACCTTAAAACAAACTTCACTGAAAGTTGTCTGATAATTACTCATGGTGTTGATACTTTGAGAAGTAAATGGGCAATCTTTTTTATTTGACTATGTTTGTAGAGCTTTTCGTCCTTCACCATGCCTTGGGCATTACAAATTTACTTTGCAATAACAAGTTATAGATTCCAGAAATATTTTGGGGGACATCATGTTTGATGCAATTTATTGGGTTCACAGGTTGAGGTTTGGCTGCAAACATTTTCTCCAGGATCAGGCACACCAATACACAGGCATTCTTGTGAAGAAGTTTTTGTTGTCCTAAAGGGGAGTGGAACTCTCTACCTTGCACCAAACTCACACGAGAAGTCCCCTGGAAAACCACAAGAATTCTCTGTCTTTGCAAATAGCACATTTCACATACCTGTTAATGATGCTCACCAGGTAAAACAAAGCATTCTGCACTTAGTGTGTTTTATGCCCTAGATAATTTCATCAGCGTTCGTGATGATTCAGTTTATGTAACTTTTTTGCTTATTCATAATTCTTATAGGGTTGTATAGATAGTTAACCCTGTAGTACGTCTGAGACCAAATCCTGGGTTTAGGTCAAAGACTTATTTACAGTTAAGCAGAGTTGGTCATTATTTGTTATTATCACATTGCTTCTTGTAGTAGGGCTCATTGAATTGAATCAGAAACTTGCGAGTTGTTATGTTACCAGATAGTTATTATTCTCTGATGGGCAATTCACAACTTTTACCTGGTCTTATACTTATTTACAATCCTCATTGCTTTGCAGGTCCGGAATACAAATGAGCATGAGGATCTGCAAGTGCTTGTTGTCATATCTCGTCCCCCAGTTAAAGTGTATGCAATTTATCTTCTTTCATCTTCAATGTTTACTATTATCTATACTTCTTGAAATTGCTTCATGTTCATTATCCAAAAAGAGGACCATGATATGCAGACGCATTCTTTCATTTTCTCATTCTAGGTTATTTAATTCTTCTTTTTTGGATTGCTAAGGATGGTTCAATTTATTACACTTCTATGTTTTATTTTTTACTTTTTTCATTTTGCTTGAATGATGCTTCTAAGTTCTTTCCTTGGTTTCAGGTTCATATATGAGGACTGGTTTGTGCCTCACACTGCAGCAAAATTAAAGTTCCCCTACTACTGGGATGAAGAGTGCCTTGAAGTCGAACCGCCGCCAAAGGATGAGCTATGATATTTGAGAAACATTGCATTGTGGAGTATATAGTCTCATTTTCTTTTGAGAGAACGGAAAAGTTTGTAGACTTTAAAGTTTTCAGATGCATATGCAGAATTGGTACTTTTGGTCACAATATCAGAGCTTGTTTTTGGGTAAGCAGGGGTGACGTGATATATTTCTGGATTTCAAATTGTAGCTATTATTCTCACAGGTTATTCAATGTACATTTCTAAGCCCAAACCGTTTTTACAAGCAGTATGTTCCCTCGTCTAGATAAGAAGGGACTGTGAGCAATTGACCCCTTCCAAGATGCAATGCTGGTTGCAACATTGTGAAAACCAATAACAAAATCACGGATAATCACAAGACCACCTCGGATGGATGCAATGAAAGCAATGCAAATTAAAAATGATTGAGGGAAGCAAAAATGACGACGAAAATCACCCATAACAGCCAAATAGAATGCAAGATAAGAAAGCTCAAGTAGGATAATGATCAGAAGCATCCTTCTGACAGTCAATATACATAAAGAAGACAAACGTTTCCATACTTCTGACTTCTTGCTTGGAGATGTAAACCATCATGTTGAAAACCACGAACTTCAGCCTGGAAAAGGGCAAGTATTTGCAACACCATGAGTAATTATCAGTTCTTAACTTATTCCTTTCTTTTTTCATGATTCCATTAGGCCGGTAATATATGTTACAGCACTTACACAAATGACACCATTCTCTTCAAAAATGATGCGCCTCTAGTAATTGAAAGAGTAAAAACTTAAACGAGGGAATAGCAAGGGAAAATTGAGAAATTTACCATACTTTTTATATTAGAATGAGAGTCTCTTTACCATCACAGTGGCTTACATGTGTTCTCCATTGAAAATTCCGAAAAAAAGCTCCCTACCAGTAGTTAAAATTTCTACTCAATATATTTTTATGGTATCTATAACTGCATAATCTGTTTCTTTGATCCTTATCCATAAACACACACTTACCATTTTTGACAATGAAAACAAAAGAAAAACTAATGCAGAATCATGCTATCACATTTACCTCAGTTACTAAGCACTCATGGATTGTCAGTATCTGTAAGTAAGTTTTCTGCGTCCAGAATTTCTCCATAACCATATCAAATGATAATTCTAACAATACTCATTATGGTTGATGATGATGGAGACAGTATGAGACTATATATGCAATGGAGACAATATACAAGCTTAGCTTATCTAAATTACTATAAAAACATAACTGAAGAAAACCTAACAAGGAAATCAGCACCCCAATCCATCTGCATACTCTATTTTTTTTTAGAGAATTGGGAGATGTTGATCCCTTTTGGAATGACTTATGGAGAATGAAAATCCCTCCCAAAATTCATATATTCATTTGGTTGGCTTATCAAGGTAAAATCTTGTCCAATGAGCAAAGAACCAAGAGGAATCTAACTTCTGATCCTTCTTGTCTCCTGTGTGGTTGGCAAACTGAATCCATTATTCATATTCTTAGGGACTGTCCCAGGGCTAGGATGGTATGGAATTCTATTGTAAATTTACATTCCTCTCCTCACTTCTTCCTATCTGAGCTAAAACCTTGGTTCCTAGGCAACTTGCTCTCTAAGGTTAAAGGACCTGATGGTATTGGTTGGAATATTATTTTTGCCATTACTTGTTGTTGTTGGTATATCTGGAATTGGCGTAACAAGCAGATTTTTAACATTGAAGTGGATTAATCCTAGGAAAACCATCTTTACTGCGGTTGTTGAGTGGGTTAAAGCCGCTAATGGCTTTGGCAAGAAACCTGATAGAGTACTTGTTTTTTTGGCTTGGGAACCTCCTACAATTGGTCAACTTAAGCTGAATGTGGATGGTTCTAGAAGGGCTGCCACTAATATTATTGGAGCAGGAGGTGTTATCCGTGACTCCTCAAGTGACTGGATTGCCGAGTTTGCAGTGAATTTGGGCCAAGGTCATATCCTAGAGGCTGAGGTTTGGGGCCTATATTTTGGTCTAAAGCTTGTTGTTGAGAAAGGTGTCACTAACCTTGCTATTGAAATGGATGCTGCTGTTGTTGTCTCGCTTGTTCAACAAATCTATTCATTGCAATGCCATCCTCTTGCTGCTTTGGTGCATAGTTGTCGTGATCTCATGAGACAAATTGGAAATTGTCACCTTGTCCGCATTTACAGGGAAAAGAATTGTGTTGCGGATTATTTGGCAAATTGGAGTTATAATTTGGACTTGGGAATTTGCTTCTTTGATGAGGCTCCTGTCTGGGTTAGCTATCTGTTGATGGATGACTTACTTGGTCTTGCTAGGCCTCGACTCATGTGTGGGGTTTAGTTGTTTTATGGGGTTTTCCCTTATTTCAACCAAAAAAAAAAAAAAACTAGGCCAGCTGGTCCAAATGGGATTTTGAAATAATCCTGTTACTACAATAATCCAATCACTTCAAATTCAAAATTCCACCAATGGGTTTTCGATTAACATCAAAATCACGGAAACCCATTCCCAAAAGACTTCGAATTTCCTCAGAAACTCCCAATTTGAATAGAAACAGAAGAAAACTGGCTGTACTTCAAAATCGTATATATTTAAAGCCTACGGCCGCGTGGCTATGCTTTAAAATATAATATTTTAAGAGTACAGCCATTCGGCTATACTGTCAAAATATTCGAATATATTTCAAGAGTATAGCCGGACGGCTATACTATTTAAATATAATATTTTCAGAGACAGCCGGTCGGCTATACGTTTATAATATCAGAATATATTCGAAGGGTATAGCCGACCGGCTATACTCTTTAAAATATAATATATTCACAGTACCGCCGCGCGGCTATACTGTAAAATATTCCACGAGTATAGCCAGGCGGCTATACCCTTTAAAAATAATATTTTCAGCGTACAGCCGCTTATACTTCTAAAATATTAAAAAGAGTATAGCCGCGCGGCGATACCTTTGAAATATAATATTTTAAGAGTACAGCCGAGCGGCTAGACTGTTAAAATATTCGAGTGGTATAGCCGCGCGGCTCTACAGTTAAAATATTCGAATATATTCGAAGAGTACAGCGGCGTGGCTATACTATTTTAATATAATTTTTAAAATATTGTAATAGACCCTTCAATTGGATTAAGAGTTTCTTCTCTCTTGGGCATGAGAGAGATGAGGAATTGATTTGTAAAACCGAACTTCAACTGCACTTTCATATAAGACCAACTCAAATCATTGAATCCATTTCCTCTAGATCACATGTAAGTTAGGATAGCTGCATTAGAAGGAAGAAGAGGTAAAAGAAAAACCACAACAAGCTCGAACAAACTTCAGTCCAATCTGACTGAAATGTTATCTTGAACAGACTAATAAAATCAGCTATCCATTGTAACATATCTGGAAACTCCACACTGGTAGCTGATACACATAAACTCCACACTGCAATCTGTCTTCTTTCATCTTCAATGTTTACTATTATCTATACTTCTTGAAATTGCTTCATGTTCATTATCCAAAAAGAGGACCACGATATGCAGACACATTCTTTCATTTTCTCATTCTAGGTTATTTATTTCTTCTTTTTTGGATTGCTAAGGTGGTTCAATTTCATTACACTTCTATGTTTTATTTTTTACTTTTTCATTTTGCTTGAATGATGCATCTAAGTTCTTTCCTTGGTTTCTGGTTCATATATGAGGACTGGTTCATGCCTCACGCTGCAGCAAAATTAAAGTTCCCCTACTACTGGGATGAAGAGTGCCTTGAAGTCGAACCGCCGCCAAAGGACAAGCTATGATATCTGAAAATCACACTTGCTGCACATGGCAGCACGTCAGCTACGTTTCACCCACCAAATGGTAAGTTCCCATGGATTATGGTATGGATGATTAGCCAGTTCTCTCAACTACCCGATTAACAGGTGATCACTCTTTAATGTAAGAAGATTCAAGCTTTTCTAAACGGTTCCATTCTAGTTACAGCTTCATTGCTTCTACAAAAGCGCATTTACCTTTCATGCCTGATTGAAATCTTTACATTAGCTTTTTTATTTTTTGAGGCCAATCATTTACAATTTCATTCCACTAACCACTAATCACCGGAGTTCCAAAGCACTGAATTGAAATCCACAATCAATGTTAAAAATCGCTAGGCAGTAGGCGGGCTCCTAGGCCTTTTCTTTAATTTATAATTAGGGTTAATTACAATTTAGTACCTTGTACTTCCACCCTTAAGACATGTTAGTCCCTGTCTTTTCAATTTTAACAATCGCATACCCCGATCTTTTAAATTTGTTACAATGTAGCTCCGCCGTTAGTGTTTCTGTCAAATCTCTCCGTTAATTGCCTACGTGGCACTGTGGGTCCCACATTATTTATTTTTTAAAATTTAAATTGATTAAAATATGAATAAAATATTATTTTTTTAGGAAAAGTTAAAAAGAGAAGAAAAAAAAATATTGGGACCCATTGACTCAAAACCAGCGGCCCCTTCGATCCTTTCTCCCCCCCCCCCAACCCT